GCTGATTTCATCTCTTGACTACGCTAAGATAAATGCCACTTCCCTAAAGCTTATGGAAAACCTAGACTTTGATACGATGCCGAGCATTGTTCTGGACATCATGGTCGTTGAAATTATGACAAAAATGGTCCAAAATGTTGACGATAAATCCATTTTAGACTTTTACGTGGAGGAAAATCTTGGGGATCGTGAACCCCGTAATTTCTGGGTTGAAGTTAGGCACGACCCTAATGTAAGATACCTTTCAAACAAGATGACTATGGCTAATTCTACAAGTTCCGCCAGGGATAACCCGTTTCTCAAGAACAAACCGATTAATGATATCTAAATCTGATGAAACTTATCATCTTCAGTTCTATTTTGTTTTATTTTATTTTCTCCGTGTAAAAAAAAAAATCAATAAAAATTATCATGTTTCATACCATAATTTTAATAAGATATGTTCTCTTTATAATGTATTCACATAATCACCTCTCTTATTCTTATATTTTTTGATGTTAGTCTCGTCTTCACCTCAATGATCCCATACATCGTTTTCGTTTACCCTCCCACATCGTAACACCTTGTTATAATGTTAAATTTACTGATCATGTTGCAAATGTTACATCTTTATCTTGTGATCTGCGTGATACACCAATCTATAAATAAACCCACTTCTGCTGTGTCACCTCATCCGTGTCCTATGTAAACTGTGGGTACTGGGAAAAAAGTACTGGCTAATTAGAAAAAAATTCTTTATTCATTTGTTATATAAATATTACTAGCCGTTGAACCCGTTGCTCCGCAATGTCAGATAAACATACACGTGATCGGTATGACGGTTAAATGTTATACGTGATTTTATACAGTCTTTCGGGTGCACAGGTATAAATTCGTAGTCTAAACGTTATGTATCAATTGTAGTCTAAATGTTACGGGAACACAGATATAAATATGTAATCTAAACGTGACTTAATGCTTCGATTCGGGTAGAAACCGTTATCCAGATAAATTAAATAAATTATCCGGGTTTTATCTGGATTATCCAGTTCGGATATAAATCTGGATATATCTGGATAGAAACCGAAACCCGGATAAGATTATATAAAAAATTTTTTTCATTGATCGATCTTAACAAATAATATCAGTGGCATTAACTTAATTAAATTTTGACTTGATATTTTTAACGAAATTAGTGATATTTTATTAATTTTAAATAAAATAAAATTTTAATTTCGGCTGGCACTACGAATTTTGCCTGAATTATGTCAATTTTTTGAAAATTTGAGAACCGTAAAATTTTGCAATAAATGCATTATTATAAATATAAAAACACATTAAAATTGTAAAATAATGGAAGATTATGTATAAACTAATTATTTTTATTAGATTTATATACTATTTTGTAATATAAATTAATCAATTCAACCTAATTATTAGAAAAAATCTTTTTTTTTTAAATTATAGATCAACAGTAATTTGGGCCAAACATATAATGGTGGCCAAAAATACAAAAATCCCAAATTTTGTTTAGCTGGGCTGCCTCTTTCTTGACAAATATCAATTTCGCAAAATTCGGGCTGGCATTATAGATGGCCTGAATTACTACCGACCATTGAATATTCTACTAGTAATTTTAGTATGATTTAACAAATAGTAATTTAATAGATAATAATAAGTAATTTAAATGATTAAAAAAAATTTTTATAATTTTTTTTATCCAGATAACAGGTCAAACCGGATATTTTCTATCCAGATATTTTATCCAGATAAAACTGCAGTATCTGGATAGCTATTTTTTTTGGATATCTGGATACTGCAGTTTTATCTATGCACAGATCGAAGCACTAACGTGACTGTTATACAGGAAAACAATTATTATATAGTAGATATCCTTCGATCTCAATAATTTAAATTATATTTCATTGTACTGATATTGAAGATTATATAGTACTTTACTGTATAAAGTTTACATATTATTGTATGGGATAAAACGGCCATGCCGTTTTATCATATCATTAAATATCTTTAAGTATCACATATACACGTACAATAATTAATTTTACCGTATAGTTTGTAGATTTTCATAATGAAATTTTATTGCAGACCATAAATCAAAAAAACTCTGCTACTGTAAAATTAAAGAATCTGGCAAAAAAAAAATACTTTATTTAAATTAAATTAAGGATATTAGTATAAAAGGTATCATATTACCAAAGTTGCGTAATAATCCACAAATAATAGGGTTGACTCCCTTGAACTTGACAAATTTGTGATAATTAATTGACACTTTTACTACATAAAAAAACAAAAAATAAATATACTAACAAAATAGAAAAATAATCTAGGGAAATTTATAATTGTCATGCCATAGATCCAAATTACTCTTTCCATTTTCCCCTCTTAAATGTACAAAAAATTGAACTTATTACTTCTATCAAAGTTAATACTATAGACATTATTTGTCCAAAGTTCCAGTTCCAAACTTCTGAAATTGAATTTTTTTGTACTGTCAATTCAATTATGACTATTAAACCTATTAGAAACCCAAAAATTTATGATTGATAATACACCATCCACATCATTCCCATCATTCCCATTATTTGCATTATTTGCATTATTCACCGCTTCTATCCAATTTTAAGAAAAAATGTGAAAATTGAAATAACTCTGCAACTAGCGATCGTATAAAGACGTACAATAGCTCATTAGAATCATCTCACTAAGGCATATCAAATGGTGGTAAGATCATGTCTCTAGTATTGATAGATACCTTTCTAATGCTGATTTTCTAAAATTATTACCTAGCATGAATTATCTCATAATATACCGATACTAGAGACATGATCTTACCATCATTCAATTTGTCTCACTGAGACGGTACTAATGAGCTATAGATTATTCTAATACAATCAGTAGATGATGGGTTATATCTTAGATCAGAATTTTTATTTTTTGATATTCAAAAATTTAAAAAAATGCGAAAATTAAGATAACTCATTATGTAATGGTCATAAAAAAATGAAAAAAGACTCATTAGATTCGTCTTATTAAACCTATCGAATGATGCTAAGATCATTTTTCTGGGATCAATAGATACAATTCTATCGCTAGTTTCATAAATATTGTTTAGCGTTGATTATCTTGTGATATATCGAGGCTAGAGAGATATTCTTACCACCATTCAACGCGTCTTGGTGAAATGATTCTAATGAGCTATTATACATCTTTATATTATTACTGGTTGCCAAGTTATTTCGATTTTCACATTTTTTCTTAAAATAAAATAGAATTAAACTGAACTGAATAGTTCCAGTTTCAAAACCAAACTGAGAACCGAACCGAATTTTTGGTCAGTTTTGGATTGGTTTCCGGTTCAAACTGGAACTGTTTGAAGCTCTAATCCTAATAACAGTACCTATTATAGAAGAGAAAAATCATATAATCAAGCAAATCCATTTAAACTTATTGACAAAAACTAATTGTATAGATGGATTAGAAGGTTTGGAATAGGATCAGGAAATAGTTTATTAATTTTATTTTTTACTTATAAACATAAGCTTAAAAACTGTCAAAGCTAAAGTTAGTAATAAAAAAGTTTACTGTGTCCTAGAATCTTGATTCAAGAGGCTACCAATAAAATGCTCAAGAGCATTGATAGGAAAATTTCTAGACAAATAAGCACTAAGGACAGAAAGAGTAAATTCTTTAGGGAAATAATCAGCCATTTTTTTAGATGGGCTGTAGTTTTGCTTACTTTTACTACAAATATAAAGTTCAAAATTTCAACCTAATAAAAAGACTAAGACTATCACAATTCTAACTGAAGTGTTAATTGCAAAGCATGACTCCATGTTTTCTGATTATATTTTATTTGGCAATGATTGGTTTTATGGTCATAATAGTGATGGGAACCAGGGATATTTAGCAGAAATTGTAACAGATGCAAAAGATGTCTGATTAAGACGTCAGAGGAGTGGAAGCTATGGCCCACAATAAGTAAATTCGATTTTTATTCGATAATCGATTTAAAATTGATTCTTATCAATTTTCGATAAATTTGATTATTGTAAAATCAATTCCAATTCAATCCCTATTTAGCACATATTTCAGATGTGCAATGCATCACTAAAATGACAAGCAACATGGATTGTCAAAAACATTCATTCTGCGAAGGCAAATACAGTTGTAAGAATATTACAGAAAGTAGTGCATTTGCCAAAGAAATTGGAAAGCTTTCAAAAAGGATTGAAATACTAGAGGATGACAGCCAAATATTTAAGAATGAATTTGCAGTTAGATAAAGTAGACATGTTAGAGAAAAAAATTGATGAATACTGCTTCTGTCTTAAATCATTTGATGATATTAATGAGGTTATTGACAAGGTTGAATTAATAATTGGCATAGTTCCCGCCAAAAGGTAAAACTGCAACCTATATTATCTCTGAACTACTACTAACTAGTCCAAAGCAATGATCATTGATCATTTTTTGCTGAGCTACATGCATGTACTCCTATGAACTAATTTTCATATAAACTATGCCTCTGTCCTTTGGTCTTTTTTCCCATACAAAGTACAAACGCTCAAGGAATGTCTTTGGCTCAAAAATGCTTTATTACGACACAGAACTAACCTTATGGGCTGAGGACTTTGCAATTCTAAGATTGTTAGGCGTAAAGCTATTTTAAGAGGTTCCTAATGAGACTAAATCTTTCGAGAAAGATCACTAAACTAAAAGGAATCAAGATTCTGATTTTATGTACCTTCAAAACTTTCTTGGTATTATGCGATAGTGATAATCATTTTCCTTGTCTTCAGTGTTCAGTCTTTTTATTTTTTCGTGATCTACAGTATGTAATGAGACATAAAGCGCCAAAAACTGGTAAAAGTTGAGGCAATTTTCTTCGCAAAAAATCAGAGTCCTGCGGATATGTCAGAAATAGGTCTCGGAGGGACTAGTTGTGCTTTCATGTGAAATTTCAGTTGTCACTATGGGCCTTATATTTATGAATTAAAATTATGGCTAATGACCAAGAAAGGAAGCAAATTTTAAATATGGCTGATAGCATTGATAAAATCGAAGGTGCCAGAAAAATATCAATAGATGTTTTTCTTTGTGCAGGGTTTAATACTATTGGGGATCTGAAAAAAGAAGGTGCTTATGCACAATGTATTTAACAAGCAATTGATGTACTTAAAGAAGAAAGACTAATAATTATTGGAATGCACTCGCTTGCCAATGTGTAGAATTATTGAACAAGTGAAAAATACCCAGGCATATCCTTTTATTCCAAGCCAATACATGTGTACTATAACTTTTGTTTGGATAGAAGATCTGGTTATAGCGCCCTCTAGAATCTCTTATGACAGAAAAGGACTTGAGAGATGGATTAATATTCATCATTCCGATCCCTATACACGTCCAATCTCTTGGGTTTATATGAATAAAAATCTTAAAGATGTTATCGAGCATTATAGAAATTATTTTCTTCATTTTTCGATCCCATTCACAAATTATTTAGTACTGTCATATATTTTGCATTCATATCATATAGCAGTATATCGCATTTTTTATGTACTGAAAGCCGTATTCTGGTACAATGTATTTATTAAATAAAGCAGTTTTAACATGATAATGTCATTTCAAATGCATGTAATCTTAAATCTTTTTTCTGCTTGGAAAAGTGATTGATGAGTTTAAGAGAAACATTCTTGTTTTCATATGAAACAAGCGGTTGTGACTGATTCCGATAAAGACAATAAGACTGACTCTGAAGAAGATGAATCTGATGAAGTCGATGAGTCTAGAATCCAATGAAGTTGATTAGTACATTAAACCTGGAGACTCGAATCCTTTAGACCAGTTAGACAATCCAAACACATAAACATTAAACATTTTTTTCTGTACATATGTCATTATTAACCATGTCCTTATAGTCTGTTTGTGAAAGCGAAATAGCAATCCCAACCGCTCAGTCTGAACTTAAGGCAAAGATTGCTGAACTTGATGTATTGAAACAGTATAACATGGAACTTGAGGCTGAGAATTTTGATCTTAAACATGAGGTAGTGAATCTCAGGAAGTGTAATAAGGAACATGAGAATAGAATTAAGGAGTTGAAGAAGAGTAGGAGAGGTACTGATACTGAAAATATTGTGTGATATTGAGATTTATGAGCTTAAAGCTGAAGTAGCAAAATTAAGGCGTGATATTGATGAACTTAAAAAAAAATTAAAATCTAAGAAAAATCGCAAATTCCAGACTAGATGCATTCAGATAGCTAAAGAAATTCTTAATAAGCCAATAATCAAATATCATCCACCTTGATGCCTTCTTTCAAAAATATCAAATCGCATTGGACAAGGGGTTTAGCGTCAGTTTCATAGTACTAGCTGTGTTAAAAAAACTTGAGGTTACTGTTAATTGTGATCAGAAAAAGTTAAGATAGTGAAATCTTCAATATGATCTAAACCCAGAAATTGATATTTTGAAAAAAAAATTCATTATTAGATAAATATCACAAAGTTGTTCAGATTTATCACCTGATTCTCAGCTCACATTTATAGTAAGCTTATACATTGTGATGTACAAATGTAACGTCATTCTGATTCGTATTTTTCATATGATACGCAAAATTTGATTATTAAGCAAGTTGATCCTATTATTCTGTTGCAGTAGTCTGTTTCAGTAGTCTGTTTATATTTATTTCTTTTTCTTTTAAAGTTCATACAGCTGGTTAAGCAATTTGAAAGAGAAATGGCAAATAAACTTCGTAGAACCCTACAGGTAAGGAGAAAAAGAGCAGGAAAAAAAGTTTAAACGAATTCAAAATCATATTTTATATAGAAGGAGGGGAAATATAGTTCCTTTCAGTCCTATAGGGAAAACACTATTCCTAGACAAGTTTCGATCGATACTAATTATTACGATCTGAGATGCATTGAGTCTTCTTTGGAGTTTCGCCTATCGACCTTCAAAAAGGATGACAGTACAGAAGCAAATAAATTATTTATACAGGAGTCAGGAACACTTAGTAAAGAAATTCTTGGAAATACAAACAGATATGGATTTGTGTCTGGTAGCGGTGAACCTCACATACTCGGATCAAGTGTCGAAGCGAAAAGAGAAGGATGTAAAATTCATAATGGGTTTATCGATTTATTGCCCAACATCACTGAACGATCTGGCAGTAAAGTCAAGGAAGGAGAACTTGCTGGTAATACATTGAATAAGGAAGAAGGCCAATGCCCAAACATCAGAAAAATGGAAAAAATGCAGACATCCCTTGGAAAATTGCGCAGAGTTGGATCCTTGGGAGGCGATGATTGGAAAATGATCGTGCCTCAAAAAATGTGTCATCTTATATACCCGAACTTTTGCTGTACTGAAGACGAGTTATCAAGTATTGCAAACTATTCAAACATGATCCAAATGCGATCTAGTGAAAGAGTGAATAAAAAAACATCGTATTGCAACGATTTAATCTTAGTTGACATATTTGAAGATAAATCTCGAATTGCAACCTTGATTAATAATTATGAAGTACTTAATAATGATGGTATTGATCCGAAGGAATTAATTTATTATATAAAAATTGTTGCTGAATTTGGCTTTGATCACATAATAATTATTGGGGAGATCGAATTTGGATTGCTCTTTTTAGATTGTTATGGTCGTGTTTTTCTGTGGGAAGATCAGGGCCAAATGTTATGGCCTCTTGGTAATTCTCCTGAGGATGTATCAAAATGTGAAATTAAAGGAGTAGATCAGGTGAGATGGTTTGTAGTGAATGGAATTGTATATAAGTATATTACAAAATGGGAAGATACCTTTTAATTGCTTATTTTAGTTTTATGGCTTTTTTTAAACTTCTTTTCAATTTTAATATTATGTACCAACATCCTAACTAGTGTGTTACTTGAATAAAGTAGGCAAAAGCCATATTTTATTAATTACTCCAAAACATACATAATAATTTAGGCTGAAATTATAATACATAATAGTTTATGGTATAAATAAACAATGACGTAATTGTTATTTTATTTATAGACAACCATCAAATGTAATCGACAAATTAGGATTTTGTATTACTTTGCACTATGTATGATTTAACGGATGCTAAATGCAACCAGATTATTGGTTTATTTAAAGGTGGCTAAGGTTACTTGTCTAAACCTCTTCAAAATCCTACGATTAGTTTCGTCAAAATTTTACTATAGATTTATTATAGTTTTGGCAGAGTTTCGGCAGTTTTGGCATTTATAATAAGTTTTGGCAGTTTCGCCTTTCTCCAAAGTTTCGCCAGTTTTTTAATATAACTTTAATATATTTTCGGCAGAATTTCGCTTTTCGGCGAAACGCCATCTTGCCTGAACCCCTAGGTTTCGGCAAGCAACCTTAAAGGTGGCACTACCAGACAAAAAATTGTTAAAATGTTTGGCTTTTCTAAAACAGCAGTTTACCAAACTATTCAAATCTTTTGTAAAGGAAAAACTGTAGAGCTCTGAATGGGTCAGGTCAGGTCAGGTTATATCAGGTTGTCTGTTTGACTTGACCTGACCTGAAACCTGAAAAATTTCAGGACTATTTTTATTAAAGTATTGAAAAAAAATGGTACAAATCTTTTTTTTTTAATATAATATTATGAAAAAAAACGTTTTTGCAACGTTTTTTATTAAAATATTGAAAAAAAATATTGCAAAACGTTTTTTTTAAATGTTTTCGCAACGTTATTATTGAAATATCAAAAAAAAATGTTACGAAACATTTTTTTAATATAATATTATGAAAAAACGTTTTCGCAACGTTTTTTCTCGAAATATTGCGATTCAACATTTTTATATTAAAATCATATAAAAAAGTGAATCTCAATACTGCAACTCACTTTTATTATATAGTAGAATCAATAGTTTCAGGTCATCAGTTCAATCAGGTCAGGTCAATCTTCATACCTGACCTGAATTTTTTTTAAAAATCTCATACCTGACCTGAATTTCAGGTCAGGTCAGGTCAGGTTACCTGAATTTGGCTGACCTGTTCAGAGCTCTAGGAAAAAGTCTTGAAACTCAGCCACGAATAGTGCTCCGAAAAAAATCTGATCTGATCAGATTTGATCTGAATCTGATCTGTCAGATTCAGATCAGATCAGATAAATTTAATCTGCAGTTCAGATTCAGATCAAAAAAATTTGATCTGAACAAATCAGATTAGCTTCAGATCAAATCAGATTAGATCAGATCAGATTCAGATTAGGCTTATTCAAAATCTGAATCTGATCAGATTGAATCTGACAGATTTGATTCAAATTTCAGATTTGATTTTACTAATAATTTCAGCCGAATTCATAATGCCGGCTGGAATTAATTCCTAAATTTTAACTCCAGCCAAAACGGATATGTCGATCATTTCCTTTTTTGGCGATAGCCGTTCCACAAAAATCAATTTTTATAGGAACCAAGTCGGAATTTTGTGTAACCTAAATTTCCTTTTTAGGAAATTCAATAATTCCTGCCAGAGTTAAGTGCATAATTCTGGCCGAATTACATATTTACAAATTATAGCTTTAGAATTTATAATATATTTATTCAGATTCAAATCAGATTCAAATCAGATCAGATCAGATCCAGATCAGATCAGATTTAATCAGTTTTGAATCAGATCAGATCAGATTTGAATCTAATTAAATCTGATCTGATTCAGATTAAATTTAAACCGATCTGATTCAGATCAGATCAGATCAGATCAGATTTAATTAATTTCAGATCAGATTGAATCTAAGTAAAATCTGATCTGATCTGATCTGTTAGGAGCACTAGCCATGAAGTGGTCATCCTAAACTTTTAAATTGTGAACACCAAAAAACATTAAAAAAAATTGTTAAAAAAAATAATCATCAATCAGCTGAACAAATAAAAAATAATTTTCAAGAGAAAACTGAACTGCAAGTTTCTACTAAGACTATAAGAAGAAATGCATAAACTATTTTTACGTATTCCAGCATTCAAACCTCTTCTTAACAATAAACAAAGAGAAAATCGTTTAAACTGGTGTATTGAAAGGAAAGGCTGGTCCATTAGAAAATGGAAGTCAGTTATTTGGAGTGATGAAAACCGCTTTACTATATTTAAAATGATGGTCCAGGTCATATTTGGAGAACTCCCAGAATAAGATTTAATATTCAAAACATGGTTCCTTCAATTAAACATATATGGTGGTGGTGGAGTAATGATGTGGGGCTGTTTTTCAGAAAAAGGGATAGGACCACTTGTGAAAGTTAATGGGAAAATGAACTATCGTGACTATATTCAAATACTTGAAACACATTTGCTTCCTTTTATTGATAATAATTATAATGGACAAGAGTATACATGGCCTGGTAAATCTATGGCCAAAAACGTAATTTGTAATTTGAAAATACATAATTCGTAATTAATTACGAAATTACCGTAAATATTATTAATTATTGTTGCAATCACATGATAACTTTATTTTTAAGAGATTGATAATCTTTTTTTTAACGATTTTCTTTAAAAATATTATAAAGTATAAAGTACAAATAACTAGCGACAAGCAACAGCGCAGAATTTAGGGAATATTAGTAAATTTTACTAATATTCCTTTTGGTTTTTTAAACGTCTAAAGCCTTGGACTTCAGAATGAAAGGCAGGTTTTTGAAATTGAGAGTCAAAGAACGTTAATGAAATTTTACTAACACTTCTTTATCTTTTTTTATTTGTAGGCATTTACCTGAATGTCTGGATGCAAATTTTAGCCTTAAATAAGGTTGCTTGTCTAAACCTCTTCAAAATCCTATGATTAGTTTTGTCAAAATTTTAATATAGATTTATTATAGTTTTGGCAGAATTTCGGCAGTTTTGGCATTTATAATAAGTTTCGGCAGTTTCGCCTTTTTCCAAAGTTTCGCCAGTTTTTTAATATAACTTTAATATAGTTTCGGCAGAATTTCGCTTTTCGGCGAAACGCCATCTTGCCTAAACCTCTAGGTTTCGGCAAGCAACCTTAGCCTTAAACCTTTGAAATGAAAGGTTAAAGGTAGATGTTAGAAATTAGGACTTGGAAGTCACTTGGGAGTCAGGAAGCATTAGTGCTGTCTCTTATACACATCTAGATGTGTATAAGAGACAGGCCTAAACCTCTAGGTTTCGGCAAGCAACCTTAGCCTTAAACCTTTGAAATGAAAGGTTAAAGGTAGATGTTAGAAATTAGGACTTGGAAGTCACTTGGGAGTCAGGAAGCATTAGTGAAATTTTGCTAATACTTCTTTTATCTTTTTTTTTGTAGGTGTCTAACTAAATAACTGGACATAAATTTTATTTAGCCTTAACGGAACTTCAAAATGGAAGGTAGGCATTATCACATTTGGAATTGAGAGTTAAGAAACATTAGTGACTGAGCCTTTACTGATATTTCTTTTGTTTTTTTAACTTTAGGCAGCTCAATTCTACCCGAAATTCTTGAAAGCTTGAACTATAAAAATTGGGATGAAAGAGCAAATCCAGAATTAAGGCAAATTTGAAAATTTTGAGTATATTGTAATAGGAGATGTTGGTATTTATTTAAAGAAACAGTTCTTTTTTTTTAATTTTTAATGTAAAATAAAAAAATGTTTACTAAAAAATTAACGTCTGAAATGTAGAAAATAATCAATATTATAAAATTATAATATAATTATGCAATTGAAATTTATAAACTTTCTTTATTATAACTACTATATCGTTTTGTTTTTACAATTATTATTATTCATTATCTACATTAAACTGTTTGTCTAATAGTTTATCCAAATCAAAATTCTTATTGCCATGATCAATGACATTATCAATATTTACAAATTCAATAGTAATTACTTGTGGTTCTTAAAGTTTTAGTAATTCTATCAACTCATTTGATACAAAATTGAAATAATTTTCACTTTGTAAAACATTATCATTTTCAGAATTAAATTTTTCATACTTTTCTATATCAACAAGATCACTATCATTATTGTCATCTTCAATTTTCAACTCTTTCTCTTCAATTTCATCATTGATATTTTGATATATACCATTTTGTAAGCATAGCGGACATGCTTTTATCACTTTGCCAATCATTTGTCGATCATATAATATATCATGTCACATTAATTTTGAAGCTATGGTTAAAGCCATAAAATGCTTAGCCAAACTATACTAATGTCTTTTTAGTAGTATAATTTATGAAAAATAAAAAAAATTATATTGTCAAAGTTAACCTTAAACCAAAATTTTCAATAATTTGATATTTGCCTATATTTGCCGATCATCTGCTAATTTGACTTTAGAGCTTCGGGTGAAACCACAGATTTATGGGCGAAACTTGAAATTTTCAAAATATATTATTTAGGTATTCAAGAATCAATGGCCAAAATAATTATGTAGAATTTTAGGTAATCAAAAAGTTATCATTGAGCAAATGTTTATGAATATTATTAAAATACACATATAGACAAAATTTGTAAAAATTTATTAACTGTTTAAAGAATTTTTTTTGGTAAATTTAGTATGCAGTAAATTTAAATGAATGTTAAATTTGTCTGTAAAATTATTATTATGTAGGATTTTCAACTGAAGTAATTATAACGAAGTGATAAAATTGAATAAATGATCGACAAATGATTGATAAAATTGTGATAAAGTAAAGATGTTCACTATGCTCATTTCGTACCAATTGATAAAATTCTTCTTCATTTGTAACATTCAAATCTTTAGCAGTAAATTTTAATTCAGTTTTTGCATTTAAAACGTAATATGTGTGAAGTTTCGTAATATTTTGTAAGTGATCTACATTTAATCTAACAATCAATATTAAAGAAAATTTAAGTTATGATTCGATAAAAATTAATTAATAAAAAACAATCATTACCATTCTTCTTTTGTTCATATATATACCACCCTATTACAGAAAATATTCTTTCACATCCCGCATTATATGGGGTTATTGAAAATATTTTTAACGCGAGTTGTTGGATAAAATTTTCTTCTCCTTCATCTTGTTCTACATAACTCCACCAACATTCAACTGTATAATATTTAGAAATAAATTCATCATCATAAGGAGGGAGCTTATTATGAAAGGATGCAATTTATCCAATCAATGTTGAACTGGAATTTTCTCTACCGCCCATTTTTGTCTATATATTATCAATTGCCCAATATACTACTTTACGGCAAACTTGATTTCTAAATCCTTTACCTACAATATTAATTAATTTATTAGGATTTTAAAAATTAATATGTAAATATATAATTACAGTGGCCTGCTAAAAGTGACCGACCACCTAAAAATTAATAAAATCAGTTATTTTCATTAATAATTTTTATATTTATTTTAAAATTAGAAATATAAAAACCTATTTTAAAAAGTATTTTTATACTTACTAATTAATAATAAAATTGTGTATAAATATCTAATTTTAATGTGAAAAAAAAAATTGACTTTTTAACTAGAGCAGCTAGAGCAAAACAGATGCCAAAAATCGATTTTTCAACTAAAAATTAGCTTATTTTCAAAAAATCAGAAAAATTTGATTAGTAATTGCTGAGAATCCCCTCCTAAAAATCGGCAAAATTGATGATCTACTGTACATATAAAAATTATAAAATTTTACCAAAATTCATGATTTAAAAGCAGATTTTTCCAAGAACTGCTGATTAAAATCTTCTGATTTTTTGAAAATAAGCTAATTTTTAGTTGAAAAATCGATTTTTGCTATCTATTTTGCTCTAGCTGCTCTGGTTAAAAAGTTAATTTTTTTTTTTACATTAAAATTAGATATTTATACATAATTTTATTATTAATTAAGTATAAAAATACTTTAAAATAGGTTTTTATATTTCTAATTTTAAAATAAATATAAAAATTATTAATGAAAATAACTGATGTCATTAATTTTTAGGTGGTCGGTCACTTTTGGCAGGCCACTGTACATACATATCATGATACAATGGATGAAGTAAATAAGCTAACATGTATAATCTGAAATCAAACTGTTTCCATCTTTTATTAAATACTTCAATACATTGCTGTTAAAAAATAGTGTGTGATTCTGATATGTTTTTAATTAAATATGATAACTTTATTAATTGAAGAAAACAATCTGCCAATATTGTATTTTTCATTTCTAAATATTTAACAGCCTTCTTTATTGGTTTAAGAATGAATTGTAATTCTTCAACTTCCATAAAAAAACGTCTTGTAATAATATCTTTAATATTTTTTTTTAGATAATCTGGATTATCAATTACGATTTAAAATTAAAAAATAAATTATTAGATAAATTTCAATTAAAAATTTAAATAATAAAATAATTGAAGCTGACATTTTTTAAAGCATCTTCACACTTTAAAACTGAAGAAATACAATCAAAAGCAGTTGTCCATCTTGTTTGACAATATCCCTTCAGCCCTCCTCCTTTAATCATATTTTCTATTATTTCGTTTGTTAATATTGCATTTGCTTGGTGAGATGCTTTGAAAAAATAAACTAATTTCATACATTTTTTTAATATTGATTGAGCGAATTCTAATTTATATATATCATTATTAGTTAGCAAATTAATATGATGTGCAATGCATCGAATTGGCATTATAAATCCATATTAATCATTAACTAGTTTTTTTGCAAAAACTATTGCCGATGCATTATCTGATACTATTCCACCAAATTTGGTAGAACCAACATTCTCAATTATTTCAATCATTTTATCTGCCAAAAAACGTCCAGTATGTGAATAATTTAACAGATTTTGAACTGAATGAACATATTCCTTTCTTTCTTTAGTAATGAGAATAAATGCATAAAGAGACTGTCCACGAGCATTCGTCCAACCATCCACTCCTTGAATAAAAAAGTAAATTAATATAAATTATTAAATTATTAATTTATTATAAATATATAATATAATTATTTAATATATACCTAATGTAATTAAGGTATTTTTTATTACTTAATTTAAGATTTATTTTGGTAATTACATGGAAATCTTTGCATTAAGCATATCATTTGAAAGTGTTTGTCTACATGGCAGAATATATCCAGAGCATAAAGTACGAAGAAGATCAATAAAAAATGGATTTTCAATGATATGAAAGGGAATGCCGCAGCAGCCAAAAAATTTTACAATAGCATGATTTACCATCTCAACTTTAACTTGATCAATTTTAGTTGATTCAAATTTTTCATTTATTTTTGGCTAATTAAGATCAACTTTAATATTTTTATTTTTATATTCAAGATGTCCATTATTTTTTACTTTTTCTAAAAAAATTGTTTTTATTTCGTATGGTGCTTTTGAACAATTAATAGCTATATATCCTTGCATTTCAATAGGTTGACCTATTTGTTGTTTCCAACCACAAAAATTACACTCTGCTGAACAGTGACCTCTATTTCTTGGTCCTTCTTTAAAATATTCCCAAACATCAGTTTTTGGACGGCCACGTTTTTTTTTATTTAAATCAATATTTTCACTTTGACTATTACTCATATTTAAAAAAAAATTGTAAAAAGCTAAAGTTTAATATTAGAAAAATTATTTTGATATTAAAAGAAATGGAGAGTTCAATAATTTTATTGTACGTATTAGTTAATTATCATTACTATTTTGTTATTTATTAATTTATATAAGATAATACTATATCAAATTGTATTATATTTTTTAACTAATAATATTTATACTAATTACGTATGATATAAATAATTACGTATTTACGTATTTTTAAAAATAACTGGTAATTAATTACCAGGATTACGAATTACGTATTTACATAATTATACATAATTACCAGACCATGTATACTTTGGACCATTTATTTTGATCACCTTTTAACTGAGTTATCATCATCAGCAATTTCTCCTTACATATGGAGTTCTGGTATCCTTGCAGACATTCTTAACATCAACAATAAGATGTTACTGTACCTATTACTCAATTTACTTATATGGAAGATTCCACTTTGATTGCCTTTTCTTTAAAAGGTTTAAAACAATTGCTTTCTATTGCCCATGATTTTTATTTTTTAAATAATATTACAGTAAACTTCTCAAAATACGAGTTGGTCTCCTTTTCAGTTGGCAATAATTTAGTTATATTTGAGTTAAGCTCTGAAATTCTGAATCACCTTTCCTTAATGAGCTTTTCATTACAGGCTCTGAAGTTATCCTTGTCCTTTCAATTTTTGGGTGTTTAGTTCAATTTGCAAGGATCCTTCAATTTTGTCCTCTCATAATTTAAAGACATTTATTCATCTTTTGTGACGTCTGTGCAGTTCAATGAAATTATCACCTGCTCAATTGGCTACCTTCATTCTTCGGTTGTATTACTGAAAGTTCAATTTCGCTCTCAAGTTTTATACTTGTCAGAAACGCAGATTATACGAATCGCTAATAGTTATTATGGTTTTCAACACAAAGCTTTATCTGTAGCTCGTACCTTTCCATTGGTAACTTTAACTAGCAGATTTTTTAGTAAAGATATCAACCCTTATGACTCTCTTTGTGAATGACTTATATGTCATTTTTTATCTTGAATTTGCTTTTATCAATTGGCTCCAAACATGTAAACTGGGTTTTTATTATATTATGAACCTTACAGTTTACTTTAAAGTGGCCTTCTTCCTTAGATTTTTTAGTGGATTCTTCTCCATAGACTTCTAAATCCTGTTCTATTAGCTATAATTGGCTTTTTCAAGCCTTCAAACTACTTCGAGATACCAGACTTCAATTTGATTTTCCTGATCATACCTTCTTGGATTTGATATCCAATGAAGCGTGCCCTCTGATTTCGATTTCTTCTGGCTTGGCTAATCTCGAAATGTGTTCTTGGCTCAATTCTGCTTTTTGGTGTTTATCCCAAGTCATAAATCCATTTTATAATTTTCATTTTGTATAGACTGACCTTAAAAGAATGGGCTTTGTTGCCAATACTGGAAAAACTCCTTCTTGGTTTCGGCTTATTACTTCCTTTCCTAATTTAACCTTTTTTTTATCTTAACGAGTAGGTGCTATTAATATCACTCCATCTCTTTCTTCTTTGGTTGAAAAATTTGTAAACATAATTGACACTTCTTCTCATATACATTTCTGGAACAAGTATTATTGAATTGTTGGTGTTGATTCTTCAAACTCTCTTAATTTTAGGGAAGTTTTTTACACTATTGATGATCACTCTGGAATTCGTGTAGTTTATTTTTCTTATTAGATTCCTACTACACATGACCATATGCAAATCACTCCTTATCCTGGTTGTTCCCTTCATTGCCTTGCTAATGATGAAAGCCCTTTAGCTTTGAAATCTGTTAGAGAAAAATTACTTCATCGATCTTGTTTATCTGTTTTACCTTCTTACCGCTGTTTACAATTATTTTAAATGAATGCACATGTAGACATTTCACAACAATTTATTAATTTAAAACTTTCTTCTTTCATTTTATCTTCTTATTTTAGATTTTTATTTAGGTTTTCAGAATTGTATATCCTGGAAAAGTTTTTAGCGATTGATAGATCTTTTTTAATGCAAGGTGACAGTTCTCCTACCCTTTCTCCAGATCTTCCCTCTGCAATGATTCCTACTTTTGCCCTGCATTCTGACACCTAATTTCACATCTTTGGGACTGTACACGCAATTGAATCATCAACTTCATACTTTATCTACGCTTGGGTACAAACCCCTAATTACTTCATACTCGATTCTAAAATTTTTTTCTGCCTGATGATTTCTCCATATAATGATGTTGCAGAATTGGCCTTTATACTATATGTGTTGAATTCCCTTCCTTTGGATTTCTCAGTTTCATTTGTCTTCTTGTTCAAATTTGACAGCTTGTATTCGTGATAGTGCGATGTTTTCCCTATAAGACGAACCTGATTGAAGAATAATCCTTTATGGTCTTATATTTCAGAATTGTTGAACTCTAGACATATCTCTTATAGATTTATTTGCTTCCTTAAAGACTCTGCTCCTCTTAATTCCATTTGTGCATAAGAACTTATCAAAGCACGTAATTGGCCTGAATTTTTACAACCTGTGCCATTGATGGACGTTATTTTTCCCTCTTCTCTGAACACCATGGGTCTCTTCACTAGGTATAATGAACTTTTAACTCAAGACCCGATCAAGTATTGGAGATCCTTATCAGATATTCGGCAGTTTTTCTCATTGTTAGGACTCTTCCAATTTCTTCCTATACAAACTTCTTTCTACGCTGTGGACTGGTTGCTTTCTTTTAACACTTTCAAACAGACTTTGTATCCACGTCTCGTAATTTTCAAATCTTTCACTTTTGCACAATTCTATCTTAAACTCTGGTTCAATGAGCTTCCTGTAATGTACAAACTGTCTCAAAGATATCCTAATTTATATGCTGATGACTCCTTATGTCCGATTTGTGGCATTTTTATGGAAACATTAAAACACCTATTTGTTTGCTCGCCTAGCCATTTGGATGCCAAAGATGATATTTCTGAGCTTCTGAACCAAAGGATATTACCACAGAACTTATTGAACGTTTCCTGGTCAAACTTGTTACTAAAGCGTCTTTCTTACTCTGATGCAAACAAATATATGACGAACTCCTTTTCACTCTTCGTAACTTACCAACACTTGGCCTCCCAGAACTACTTTTGAGTAATAATTATTCTTTGTTTTCAGCTTCTTAGTTTCTCCAAGGCTTTATTCTACGTGATCTTCTGATGTGCCTTATATGATACTCTGGTTTGAGTTATCGATGCATATCCTCCATTATTTCTCGAACCTTTTTGAAACTTCAACATGAAATTTATCACGAACTTTAGCAACCGAGGTGCAAATATAAAACTGAGAAGGACGCGGCAAAGGGTATTTTGCCAAGTGCTCTCTGATCGTACAAAGGACCTTCTGTTTAACCATTCCGCTTTTCTGCTCCTCAAGTAGCTTTATCTCAGGCCAATAGGTCTCTTTCCACTTCTGAATGGTTTACTCTTGGTATTAATTAGCTCTATTCCTCCTTAGCCCAACATTGCTTATAGTTTCATCACCATCAGGAAATTTTATAGCGTGAAAAATTGCGTAAGTTTACGATTTTGTAAGTTTACGAAAGTTTATGGCATAATATTTCGAAAAATTTCAAAATATTACGTAAGTTTACAATTTTGTAAGATTTATGTGATATTACGGTTAAAATATTATGTAAGTTTTCAATATCGTAAGATTTACGCAATATTACGGTCAAAATATTCTGCAAATTTACGAAACTGTAAACCTGCGTAATATTACGGTTGAAATATTTCTAAAATTTACGAGATTGTAAACTGCATATGCAGTAGAACGTATACAAGGGGCATGTGAAACTATTGAATAATCAAAAATAATATAAACACCTTTTCTTTTATATAAACACCTTTTTTTTTAAGTTTGGGAAAGCAAATTTATTTTTATTTACGAATTTTTTATTATTTATAATTTTTATGTTAAAAATTAAAGTAAATTCTAATTTTTATTATAACTTAATAAAAAAATACACATTTGATACTTGTTCGCTATTATTTTATAAAATAGTACCCAGGCTGTACGGCGTGGACGTCAGTATCAGTCACAGCCCAAAAAAAACGTGAGTCTCCAGCCGATATTTGGTACGGACTGGGCCTAGCTACTCACTTAATAAATAATAAAAAAATAAAAATAATTATCTTCTTCTACGATACGTAGGTAAGTTTGTCCTTGCCCTACGATCATCACGCGTGACTAAAATTGATCAAATTTATCAAATTTAAAATATGAATGTAAATATTAATTATAAATTTTATTATAGTATAATTACCCAGCCTCTCCCAAAATCTTGTTCTAAATTCACGATAATATCTTGCGCCAGTACGCGTCCACAGCCGCTGTCCAGGGTTACCATTACGATAAAGGACATAGTTCTAAATATCAAAATCAGTTTGAATATTCGGTAAATACATTTAATTTATATGAATGTAATTTTATTTATTTACTTACATGCTAATCCCTGACGAGGTTCCTCTACTTTTGGCTGCACTGTTGCCCGGAAACCCTCGTTTGAAATATTCTATTTATTCTGATTCAATTAAATGGATTGGTTAATTTGAATTTAAATTCTTTCTTAAAGAAATTATAGATATTAGTCATATGAACCTATTGGCAACAGAGTCCCAAAAATCTTGGCGGCTTCTACC